TAACTTCAATATGGTATACTTTGTTATATTAATGCAATAAATGTAACTATGGATATACCTTTCAGTAATAACATATAATTTTCCTAAATGTGTACAGCTATTTAAATAACTGTCCTATTATCAGCACACTACAGAGCCTCACTTAGTGTATTTAGTTTAACAACATCATTTATTTGAAATCCCAAATGATACTTATTGACAATAGCATGTATAATTAAATTATATGAAACTAACATCCGTAAATTAAGAACTATTTCTGTCAATTTTCCTGGCATGATATTTAATGCCCTAATTTACAGAGGAAAGATGAATTGTCAAATTAAATTTCTTCGGCCAGTTAGATTTGCTTTGTGACTTATATTGCCACAGTTATATTAAGTCTCTTATCATAAAGTGCTATAATATCGTTCATGTTGCTTATGTGGTGTTGCTTATGGCACTGATTACCCATACTGCAAGGAAAATATTAGTTTTAATCTTATTGTTGTACCAGTATAGAAAAATGAATATTGAATAGTAATTATGTTTGTACATTTCTTGATATGCATTTTTTTCTCCTCTTTCTCCTTTCTCTATTTGTTTGGTCCTCTTCACTAAAATGTAAGTCAAATGAAAAAGAAACTTTTGATTCATCCCTTTAACACCAGCTCTGAGAAATCTGTGGCTAACGTTGTAGGGACTCAATGTTACATAAAAGAATATCATTATATGTTAATTACTTTAAACCATATTGAGTTGTATGTAAAATATATTTTATTTTTTAATACTATATCTTCACTAACATTTAACAAATGCTATCACCAACATGAAAGCCCCCAGTGTATGTGCTTTCATTTAAAAAGCTATCCCTGACTTTTGTTCAACTCTTCTAGACCACCTGAAATTAAACATCTTGTCTTTCCTTCTACTCCTAATTTGCTGGAATTTTATATTTTAATTATAATAATTACCTATAAGATTTTTATCATAACTGTATAGAACATGTAGTATTTTCTTCAATAGGGTTCAAATCCTTAGAGAAAAAGACCAGGCCATTGTAGGTCTTGCAGTTTCAAAATTTGCCAATATGAGACTTCACACACAGCAAGTATTCAAATAGTCCTTTCAAGTTTACTATTTATTCGTCCATGCACACACTCATTCACTCATGTCTTAAATTTGGCTGTCTGTCAGCAACTTTGTTAAATGCTTTAGAATCATAAAAGAAGAATAACACATCTTCCAGTTTCTGTCAACTGAAACTTCTGTTCTTCCCAGCCCTATGACAATATCCTAAATATTCAGGGCAGTTTCAGCTCTTCCACCGTTTATACATGCTATCTACAAACTTCTTCCTTTTTTTCGCTAAAAACCATGTAGTAGACATCTACTTTCATTAGCTTAGAATTTCTTTTGTAAACAGCCTTTTCTATTACATGTCAACTTGTCTCACTTTCCTTGCTAAAAGTATTGATATATTGTTTAGCCATCAAAATCCTTTTTAGAGATGGATAAAAATACTGGAAGAGAGAAACTTAGTCTTTTTTTTTTTTCTTCTAGAAGCAAACACTGATGGTTAAGGCTGCACAGCCTAAAACCACTGGAGACAGCTTATTGATACTGCTTGAAAGATGTATTGACACTGATTGAAAGCATGCTTGAGAATTAAACAAACAATAGTAAAGCAGAGAAGACCGTTGGACAGTTAGGATGGAAACATTACTTGCTGACAAGAAAGAAAAAAAATCACAGCTAATGACTGAGCAGGAAAAAATAAAAGATCTACCTCTTAAAGTTCAGTATACCACACTATAATTTTTAAATACAATTTTTAGTGCAGCACAAAATATAATCACTCACAGAGCTTTCCCGTGTTCTTGTATTGTTTGCATACTTGATCCTTGCTTTTAGACTTCTTTCTCAATTTTCAGCATTCAATTAAAGTTTATTCAACTATTCAAATTATCTTGTAGAACAAATCTAAATTTGCCTGCTTACTTTCAAAATCACCGTACAGGTGACAAGGGACTCCCATTACTAATGTTAGTCTGTAAGTTCAACAAATGTAAATACATAACTTTGTTTCTATTCCTCATATCGTATACATACTTGCAAGAATGCTTAATCACAGTTTCTTAATTGATTGCCATAGTTATTTGAATAATATTTTGACAAAAACTATTTATTTTATTTTATTCACATGCAGAAGAAAGAAAATTTAAAGTGCCACAAAGATTACCTCTGTGAGTAGAGCATGGCTAATCTTCTTGGACCATATGAAAATTTTATGCAATATATTTAGATCCTAAATCATTGGCAATAATTAATATTGGCTTTAATGAATAATATTGTAATATAAATTTGGAAACATTTTATTATGTTTTATAGAAATTGTTGTATATAAATATTTTTAGTTTTAGTTTTTTATTGAATGATAGAAGCTATTAGTTGCCCACTCAGCATCTTTTCTGTTTTTCTTCCTTGTAGAACCTAAACTGTCCATGTCTGCAAGCCTTCTCCTTACAATCTTGTGTTGAAGGGAAGCTGAAAACTCAGCCATGTTCATATCAGGGCTAACAGTAATCTCACTGACCTTGTCAGGAATCATTACAGAAATGGCCACATCCCATACTGGCCAGTAAAACATTAGAGGAAATTTGATGGGGATCTCCCTTGATCCTCTCAAATTCCCCAAGACATAGTCTTACTTCTTTCTCTCGGTACACTAAACCCTTGTTTTGCTAAAGCCAACTTACCACCAGCCGGAGAATGAAGCCAATACAGAACTGCTGGGAAACATTTGGAAAAAAAGCAAAAACAAAAACAAAGTGAAAACAAAACTTGCTTAGGCCTTTAGTTGCAGTTCTGTGCATAGGAACATTGGCTTCCTGTAATAAAAATTCATCAAAAATAGTATAGTATGTTTGGTAGGTGTCTTTTCAGAACTTATATTTATTGGGTGATGGAATAAACTAAATTCATCCTTGACTTGAAGTAAAGGTTAAAGAAAAAGAAATGTAAGCTAGGTTACAAAATTTCTAATTCGTGATGTCTTCCCATAAGGATATGACTTATTTTACAAAAATAGTTCCCTAATCACTCTCTTCTCAATGAAAACATGTTTTGATGATTTACATGGGCCTCTGGGACATATAACATTCCTGCTGACTAGAGCCATGTAAACATAACTGTCAGTAAACAACTGCTGCTTCTGTTTTATTTGGTAAAAGTAATATTTCTGTAAAATATGATAGCTTGGGGAAATTTCTTCATTCTCTAAGCATACAGATTGGGTTTATATTTATGATTCCTCTAGCACCTGAAATCTTGTTTGTTTTGAAATATTTTGATTTAAAGGATTAAGGACTTTTTTCGAATTACATATTTTGTATAATAAAATATAAGAATGTGGATAATATGTGCCTTAATCTTTCTTCAGAGATACATAAAGTCTTTTCCAAACTCTTCATAACATGATATATAAGAAGAAGTAATGCTATTATTGTACAGAAAAGGATGATACAATTTTTCTTTGGAAATGTGAATGAGAGTGTTTGCCAAATATTAGAATTTCGTATCCTTTGTTGGATATATTTAGAAAAATATACACGTGATATGTGAAACACAAATGAAAAATATGCTGAAGCTATTAACTAAAGATTACAGATCAAATCTGAATGGCTAGGCAAAGAGAACATTACCTGTTTTCCATATTTTACTGTAGATTTACTTCAGTCTTCTCTAAAAACAATCTTTTTTAAAATACAGATGAACAATTAGCCTGCTTCTGAATATTCTTAGAATTCAAAATCATCTTGATTTATGTATAAAGATAAATCTCATACAGGCCATTATGTCTTAGAGATTCTGGGTTCATTGCTCTTTTTTACCAGTTTAACACATCACGGCAAACTGAATTAATCAAATCTTTTATTTTCTAATTAGATGTGGCTTTGAGCAAGACTTCTGCTTTAAAGACAGGCATGGACATGGATATAATAAACACATTTATATCAGTGTATTCTTGAAATTTATAATCTAATTTATAAAAACAAAAGTATATAAAATATGCTTAAATTAATACTCTTAGTTATTTTTAGGCTCCAATTTTCACATACTGCTGCCTTAAAAACAAAATTTCAGTCTCATTGAATGTATAACTGGAGTAATGATCATAATGATCACTGTTATGATCTTTAAATGACTACTTTAAAGCATGATGGATCGAAATAGATATATAAAACATAAAACATATATGCTCATCTATTTAGCAGTAGTTCACTAAAATAACAGTAAAAATTTATGTAATCACTTTCTTTGAGTATATGTTATAAAATAAAAATATTACCTGCTTGAATATTGGCAGATAATATATATTTAATTTGAAAAATGTTTTCTTAGAGTTAGCACCCCTACCATCAATTTGCATTTCATAGATTTATAGCTAATACACAACCTTATAATTTGCCATCTCCCAAAACATTTGGTCTGAAATATCATTTTTGTGTTACATTATCTATTGAAGTTTAGAGAGTCAAATATATAATTTGTGCATTTTAATGTAGATCCATTCTAAACGTTTGTCTCAGGGAAATCATGCATCTCACATAAGGATGTATTAACTATTATTTTTCTAGTTTTAAATATCTATTATGCCACATACAAGTAGATAATTAATTACTCTAGTTCTGTTCGATTTTTCTAGCGCTATGTGTTCCATGAAAAATTAGGAATAGTTTAATGAGCAATACTGCTAAACTGTATTATGAAATAGATCACAAAATATAAGTTCATATTAATGGTGACTATAGTTAGTAACATTAGATTGAATACTCAAAAATCACCAAGAGAATATATTTTGTGTTCTCACCACAAAAAGTGATGTGTATGGGTAATGTATATGTTAATCAGCTTTATTTAGCCATTCCACAACAATTCATATTTTAAAACCATGTTGCATACCATAAATATATACAATTTTATTTTTCAATTAAAAAACATTTTAAAAATTTGATTAAACATTTTTTTTTTGAGATTAAACAGGCATGTTTTATTATCAAATGTTAACTCTACAAAAACTCAGTAGTATTGTAGTAAGCATTACTGCCTATCTTAAGTCTTTCAGAGCTTTGGACACACAATGTCTTAAGGCATCAAGTATACAGAAATTTCTTTTCGATCTTAAGTGCCAGTTATCACCAATTTTCATACAAACCTTTTTTATCTTTTCTATTGCAGTTAAAGGGCCATTGCCAGTCAGCTGAAGAGGGAAATGTTTGCTTCTCCCTTTAAGGTGTTAATCAAAGTAATGCAAAGAAAATAAAAATAGCAGCCACATAAATCTCCATGGCATTGCATTCAAGCAAAGGACAATATAAGTAACTTAAAGAAATATCCACATTCAATGCACTTAATGAAATCCTGTTTTCTTTGGAGTTACATGAGGCAGCAGTACTAGCTAGCTAGTGTCTAATATTGCACTTTTGTAGCATAAACACAGCTAAACACGGTGTTAAACACTGACAGCATCAGTACCTGTTCTAACTGCATCAGTGTTTACCTCTCAGTCTAGCATGCTGACTATAGTCCTATGCTTTAAAAGGTTATAATTATTTGACAGTTAAGGCATTAGAGAAAAAGGTTTAAGGCTATCATAATATATACAAGCATTCACTTCAGTTAGTATATTGTTTTCTAGAATACACTGTTCAAATAGTCTCACTTCTGTGATATTAAAAACTATGGAATTTCTCTTATTAAAGTCCAAACCATCAATGACAAAAGTACAATATAAAATAATGCATATGAAGCCACAATATTCAGTTATGGTTCAAACTAGAAATTACTAACTACATGTAGCTGCTTCATTTTTGGTTTTGCATTTTGGCCCCTAGTTCATTATTTACAACTGATACCTGCTGCGAAAAAGATCCACACTTTTAAACTTTGTGTTTTGTGGAGGGTGCACCATTTTTTCTAAAGTATCTTTAGGTGTTTTAAAATTATTTGTTTTTAACTATAAGATCATCATGGCCAAAAGACTTAGAAAATAACAATTTTACTCTTTTTCCTAAGCTTGTGATTTTAGTATTCCAAGACTTATGCTTGAATTACTTAGCAAGAGGGCATGATTATGCAGAAGCCAGGGAAATGAAAAGAGTGGGAATATACAAAAGCTTCCCTAACAGAGTTCGTGGTGGAGATGGTAGACACTGGTAGAGTTTTTATGCAAGACTTAAAACTTAGGAAACACCTATGATGCCACTTTAGCTGGAAATAATAGAGACGTCTGATTCCAAATTCACATTTTAAATGCCTATTTGCAATCGGCAAAGGGCCAGGTATGCTGCATGCTGCTTGCTATAAGGATTTGGCTTCACTGGTGCAAATTTTTTCACTCCACCAAAAGATAAGGCACAGGCCCGCTCGTCCAATCAAGTTTGCTGAAAATACTGCAGCCTGAGTGTAGACAAACTTCCCCTGAATTTGCTAGAAGTTTTCTTGCGTCTGGCAGTTTCAAGATCCCCATACATCTTTCAAACACTGGGATAGTACACTGTGTAGTTCATGAAGAGCTGAGTGCCTGCTGGGTAGTACGCTGTGGAGGGCTGCAGTGCTCGTGGATTCAAAATCACAGAGGGCTGATAAATAGCTTCTGTAGGAATAACTGCAGCAGGAGCTGGAAATGTGTAGGAGGGAGGAGACAGGCATGGTAACTTACATGGCGGTGGGGATAAGCCATTTCGATTTAAAGTGCCCCCCATTAACACAAAGTTCATCTCCTCAGCTGAACACTGAAAGACTTCAACATATCTGTCCTTCATGGCTTTTTTATGACACTTCTGTGCAGCCATAAATGCTCTGTCCGCAGACTTCATCTGGATAAAGGCATCTCCTGATGGGCGGCCCTGGTGATTCAAAACCATGTGAACCCCATGAGTACGAATATCTGTGGCGAACTCCCCTAGGAAATCCAGGATGTCCTCAATTGTGGCTGCATAGGGAAGACCTCGAAGGCGTATACAGTCTCTAACATTTGTAGGAGGCACAAATTGCTGAGGTAGTACTGGAATAATGGGAGGGGTTGGAAGTGGAATGAGAGGGGCCGAGGAGAATCGATTCAGCACCTGCTGAACTTCAGCTGCTGTGCTCCTGAAGAGTTCAATGTATCTTTTACCCAACAAGTCTTTATGCTTCCTCAACGCGTTCTGTGCATATTCCTCACAAGCAAAGAGGACAAAAGCATCCCCTGTTGGCCTACCATCTGGGTAGGTGACAAAGAGGATGCCTTCTTTTCCCCCAGTAATAGGGCAATGCTGTCCAAAGAAGGCCACCACTTCTTCAGCTGTGGCTGTGAAAGGGAGCCCCCGCATGCGGACAATGACTTGATTTTCCTTTGAGAGAAACTGGGCTACCTCATTGGAAGTACCACCAGCAATTTTAAGAAAATCTTCACCTGTTGCTTTGTAAACCTCAATATACCGGGTCCCCATGTGATGTTTATGCCTCTGTAGTGCGAGGTCTCGGTGCTCCTCACTTACAAACCTAACCAGAGCTTCTCCGTTCCTTCGACCCTGAGCATTCAGACAAAGTGCTGCACCTCCCTTGGCAATATTGAGTCCTTTGAAGAATCTTGCAATATCTTGATCTGAAGACTGCCATGGTAAACCTCTCGCCCTGACTACGGTGTTATCATCAATAAGTTCCATCTTGCTGCAAGTCCCACTTTCAAATTTGTAATTCACTCTCTCTGGATCTGAAAACCTGTGATTATAAGGCTCTGAAATCATTGCTAAAATTATATTCCCCATATCTTCAACTTGAGAGGCTCCATATCGAGAGACTGAACTATTCTTCCCAAAATTTAAATACTCTGTCATTGCTGCAATGTCCAGTTTGTCAATATCAGGTGAACCAGGGCAACACTTCTTGAATTCTTTTCGAAGATCAAAAAAGGAATAGAAGCATTCAGGTAATAGTACATTCTTCTTGGAAGCCTCAGGATGCAGGATTTGCCTGATATGAAGCTGTCCATCAGTACAGAGACAGAAGGAAGTACCTACTCCAATATTCAGTTCATTGCTCACTGACTGGTTAAACTGTCGGAGGGCTTGGTCCAGCTGCGACGCCGAGGACAGGCTTTCGACGTCTATTTTAGTTTCTTCTTTGCAGTCTTCCGTCAGTTCCAATTGATCTGGTCTAACTAGTACTTCGTGCAACTGTCCCACCTTCTTGTTGGCCAGATCCACGACTTTCCAGAACAGCAGGATCAGCTCCTTCTCATCCGAGCCTAGCTTGGCCCCGGTGGCCCCAGCAGTGATCCCAAAAAGCACCACCAAGTAATCCGGAGAGGCCGTCATGACGATAGGTGGGGAGGGGGAGAAGGGGGGTCGGGGGGCGGATAGGTGGGGTGGAAGTGAGAACGAAAAAACCTGTGCTAAACCCTCTTCTAAGAGAAAAAGAAAGAGCGCCCACCCCCCCCTCCTCGCTGCTGCTGGTCGATTAAACATTTTAATTTAAAAAATGAATAATAGTGGTATTTTAAAATGCATTCTAACGTCTGTGTTCACAAAATTGAATGCTTGGTGGAAAGTGTATTTTAATATTATTAGTTTATTTATTAATTAAGGAATATTAGAAAAAATATATTCTTAAGGTGCCTGAAGTTTATTTATGCATGTCATGGATAACTAATATCTTGACATCACCAGAAAATTGAAACATAAAAAATACTATCAAAGCTTTCTCAATGGTTGTTTAAATATTACACTAGCTTATTACTGAGGCTGGATATTAACATCCTCACTCTTTTAGAGGACAAGCCTGGGGTAGCTGGCAGTCCAGTGCTGGTTATTTATGGCTTAGGGAACACCTTGGCCATTTTACCTCAGTGTGCTGTACAAATAATATCATTTTTTATGTATTCTAAAAAGACTAAAATTCTGGGACACCTCGTTAGAGACCCGGAATAGTATAGAGTCAAAATCTATTAAGCCCTCATCATTTTAAGGTAATTTCTTCCCCAAGACTCCATTTTTCTGTTATATACTCATAATATTTTACATTAACTAAAGAACCTGTGGGATGAAAATGTTAGTTTATTGATGTGAAATCGCTTCAAAGAGTAATTATGTCTTACGTCAAGTGTTTCACGTAATATTTGACATATTGTGAGAGTCTCAGATCAGATCTGAATGATTTTGCTAATATGTTCTAATACATTTATTAATTTAGAAGACATAAAGAATGGACATAATGTATATGAGACTGATTCTTGAATCATGGTCTAGAGTAATTAAAAATATTTAATTCCAACCTGGCCAATATGGTGAAACCTCCTCTCTACTTAAAGCACAAAAATTAGCTGGGTGTAGTGGCAGGCACCTGTAGTCTCAGCTGCTGGAGAGGCTGAGGCAGGAGAATTGGTTGAACCTGTGAGGCAGAGGATGCAGTGAGCCGAGATCACGCTACTCTGTACTCCAGCCTGGGTGACAGAGTGAGACTCCATCTAAAAAAAACAAAGATTTAATTGAGGTCCAAGTTTATGGCAAAAAGAGTTGTGAAATTGTTTCAAATGCAATCTGTTTATTTGTGCCTATTTAGTATCTAAATTCTTAGGTTCAACTCTTAATATGCAATAATAACCTAAAATGTTTCAATTCTTGATAGATGAGTTGGGAATCAAAATGATTTTTTAAATATTTCTATATTATTTAAAAGACAGGAAAATGTTAATTTTTAGAATATTCTTGTTCATTCAAGAATTAAAATGTTATCATTGCCTTATTTTCTTACTGAAATCATACATACTTCTAACTCTATTTAAGATATAAGTCTCTGGTTTTCTTTGCACTTCAGTAAGGTCTTGAGAATCTGAACTTGTTTTTAGAAAGAGTGCAAGTTACATCAACTAAATTAATACATACCATGACTCGTACTAAACACTTTTGGATGGCTTATCTCTTTTCCCTCAAAATTGCTACAGAAGGCAGGTAATCTTATTGGATTTTGATGGGACCCAATAATCAATATCCCTCTATTCAAGTACTAAACTATTCTAAACTAATTGATAACAGCTTGTGTAAGGAATTTAAAATAGCCATATTCATAGAAGCAGAGAATAGAATGGTAGATGTCAGGATCTACAGAGAGGGAGAAATAAAGAGTTATTGGTCAAAAGGTACCAAGTTTTAGTTATGAAAAATAAATAAGTCCCAGATATCTACTTCACAGTACAGTGCTTATAGTTAACAATTGTGTGCTGCATACTTAAACATTTGCTAAGAGGGTAGAAATTATGTCAAGTGTTCTTATCACCAAAACTAGTCGTAAATAAAGAGGGCAGAAGGAAGCACTTGAAAGTGATGAATATGTTTATGGCATTGATTGTGGTAATGGTTTCACAGGTGTATACTTATCTCCAAACTCATTGAAATGTATACATTGAATGTCTACAGCTTTCTGTGGGCCAATCATAACTCAGTAAAGTGGTTTCAAAAATTGAGACATAAAACAAAACAGAATGCTGAAAACTCATGTCACCTTTGTCAGTGATAAAGATGAAGGTGAGGGCTGTGGTTAAGCTTTAAAAAACAAATAAGCTTGCTTGCTTTTCGACATGCCACCTGAGGAAAAGGTTAGTTTACCGGGAAGGATAAAAGAATTAATATGCCAGACTCAGCGTATTGGATAGAGTAGCCACACCCAGTTGAGAATTTTTTATCAGTGTTTGTCTTATATCAATCATTTAACTCCTTAGATATTCCTTAAATAGTATATGTCCAATGAACAGAGTAGTATAGAAAAAATAACTTTTTGTGCAAACAGTTGAAAAGGGGAAAAAAGATGTTTGTCTTCCACAATAGCAACTACCTTCCAATAATTCAGTTCTACAACTGTCCAGGATCTGTATAAAGTACTTTACTTATTTTATTTCCTTTTATCTTTAACATACCCTGTTGTAGATGAGGAAATTAACGTATATAAAGTTAAGTTCCTTTATTCTGACTAACAATCTCAGATAAAATGATAGTAAAATGCTGACCCAGGATCCAAACCTAGGTTTTCTTACTTAGGTATATATACCCTTTCTCAGGATATAAAAATAACTTTGTGAATTGATAACTACAAAACTTCTTAAATGGGTTGACATATTGCTTCAACATAACTTGTTCTTTGAGAGATTCAGGATTAATATTTTTGAAAATTTATCCTATTTTTTTTCAAATTTGTAATTATGTTGATAATCATCAGAGATACCAGAATTATTTACCAACTGTTCATCTTATAGTTTTAGCTCAAACTTGAGAAACAGAACTGGAAAATCAAAACAAACATAGATAATCTTCCAATATTAACCTGCCAATAAAGACTTTTATGGCTCATTTCCCATCTAACATTCAAATACTTCTGAGTCAAAATCATATGCCATTCATCTTCTCTTCAAAACACAAGGTAAAGAGAACAATAGTGACCTGCATTTTTTATTAACAAAATTGAGATAACCTTTATTACTAAACATGTTGTAGGCTTGAAAATACAAGTAAAACAATTAATTAAAAATATCCAGTAGTACCAAGATAAATTTTGGAAGTCAGTTGATTACAGCATAAAAAGCTTATACTTCTTTGGGAGGCCGAGGTGCGCGGATCACGAGGTCAGTAGTTCAAGGCCAGCCTGCTGGTCAACATAGCCTGGCCATCTCTACTAAAAAAAAAAAAAAAAATATATATATATATATATATATATATATATATATATATGACATTAGCTGAGTGTGGTGGCAGGCACCTGTAGAACCAGGTACTTGGGAGGATGAGGCAAGAAAATCGCTTGAACCTTGGAGACGGAGGTTGCAGTGAGCCGAGGTCGTGCCACTGCACTTCAGCCTCGGTGACACAGTGAGACTCTGCCTAAAAAGAAAAAAAGCTTATACTTGCTTTATATTTTAAGTTTATGAATTTTGGATTCAAGATATTAACAAATTTTTTTGTTCTAGATTTTCATGCAGAAATTCCAATAGTAAACTCTATGGGCAAGTCCATAAAAAAAGTTTTTTAATGTAATAAATAGCATTTATTGTTTTTCTACTCCAAAATGTTTTGAAGAAACAGGCTTTTAAAGACAAAAGTTAAAATCAATAATCCACTACCAAGTTAAAATGATGATTAATATTAATATTTTGTTATATCTCTTTCTACATCACTTATTTTCTAAAATGTTACTATTTTTAATCAAAACAACCTATTTAGCACTATTTCACACTCTGTCATTATTCGTTTAGATTCCATTACATGTTTTATAAGATCAATGGCACCCCACTATATGGTTTTCATTTTTATCTTGAAGTCTCTATTCTGTGTTGTTGGGAGTTTGGATATGATCTGTTCACTTTCTCCTTAGAGGCGCTCCTTCACATGTGATGGTTTATTTTCTGCATTCTTGCATTTATGCAGATGAATGATATCTTACCTAGGTTGAAAATCATTGTATTGCTGTCTTTTTTCTTTAAAGTCTGTAGAAATTATTTCACCAAAGTCTAGCTCCTAGTTTTTCAGATGAAACATTGAGTATTTTCATTCTTTGCTAGAAATTTCTCCTTTCTGCTGGAAGAGAGTACAGTGCTCCTTTGTGGGTATTTTTTTCCTTTGGCAACTAGTTGTTAACACTATTTAATTATGTACTCTACCAATTATGGTGGTATCAGCTTGTGTATCTTAAGTCTGGTGATTTATGTAACTCCTATGAATGTATAAAAATAATTGGGCTGGTATTTGATTTTGGTTTGTTTATATATACTTGTAGAGATGTGTGTCTTATCTTTAATAAAGGCTCAAGTATAGCAGAATGAAAAGAAGAAAAATAAATACAAATAAGACATTAACTATTAGTCAGAGGTTATACTATAAACATTTAAAAACAAAATTATTTTTCTAACTTTAGTAATATTACACATCTTATTAGTCATTACCATGTCAGAAATCATTTTGTTTGGTTTTCAGAAATCTTAGAATGTATTGTTCAATAGCAAAAAAAAAAAATTAAAAAATGAAGAATGCGTTATACAGTTATTTTATATCTGACTTTTTTGAGATATATCATGTAAAATGAAGTAGTGTAGTGCTCAATTCATACTAAGCTCTTGATGAATATCATTTTTACATCTATCCAGAAGTTCTGTTTAATTTAGTTATATACAATTTTTCTCTTACTTAGATCTTAACTAATGAGCTGGAGAACAGTTTTGCACAAATTATTTTAAAAGGTGCCACTTTCTTCTTGCATAAATAGCCTCAGGCCAGGGTTGATGGCTTGGAAAATAGGACTCTAGTTTGCAAAATTATAAGCCTTTCTGCTAATGAGAATAAAGGTCTGTATTAAAACATTAAAATAATTCATGAGATGCCAAAGTAAGACTACATTTGGTCAGCCAGAAACATCTATTTTTCTGAGGAAGAATGCCTTAGATCAAGAATAAGATATGCAAAAAAAT